CATATACATAAAAATTCTCAAAGTTGGGGCTGGAGAGATGGCTCAGAGGTTAAGAATATTGACTGTTCTTCCAAAAGTCCTGAGTTCAATTCCCAGTATCCACATGATGGCTCACAACCATCTGTAATCTGGCGTCCTCTTCTGGCCTGCAGGCATACATGTAGGCAGAAAACTGTATATGTAATAAACAAATAAAATCTATATAAAAAAAAAAGGTATGCGCCACCACCACCCAGCGTCTTTAAAAAAAAAAATTCTCAAAGTCAAAATAAGGAAACAATGTCATTAAAAACAGAGAAATAGAGCTGATGTATCACCTCTCCTGACTTGTATGTATGGTGCTGGAGGAGAAAGTAAACATCAGTATCATCCAGCTATAGACTTTATTGCCTACAACAGAGACCTACTTGCAAGGTATACTGATGCAACAGTGGCACAACTGCTATGGGAGTAATCAATCGCTTTTTGATTGGCTTTAAGGCCCACTTTATAGGGCAGAAGTCATGCCTGACACTGCTAAAGTGACCAAGAACCTGAGACTAGATAGGCCATGAGCCTAGAGGAAAACATAGTACTATTACTCTGCTAAAAGAATATAGCAAAGAAATGATACCTAATGATACATTGTTATACCCACAGAGCAGACATCACTCAACTCTCATCAGAGAAGAGTCTTCCTGCAATAAATGAAAATTAACATGGAGATCCACAAAAAGACAATGTGCAGAGAGTAAGAGACTTTAGAACAATTAGCCCTAAATAAGATGTCTTTACAAAACTGCTGGGGGATAATGCTCTTGTACACTGTAAAGATTTGTCACTCATATTAGTTTAATAAATGCTGATTGTCCAGTAGCCAGGCAGGAAGTATAGGCAGGGCAATGAGACTAAGAAAACTCCAGGAAGAGGAAAGGCAGAGAGTCAGTCACCAGACAGAAACAGAGGAAGCAAGATGAGAATGCCTTACTGAGAAAAGGTACCAAGCCATGTGGCTAAACACAGATAAGAATTATGGGTTAATTCAAGTTGTAAGAGCTAGTTAATAATAAGCCTGAGTTAATAGATTGAACAGTTCATAATTAATATAAGTCTCTGTGTGTTTCTTTGTGGCTGAACAGCTATAGGACTGGATGGGACAGAAACTTCCATCTACAAATGGTGCCCAACATGGGACTCGAACCCATGACCCTGAGATTAAGAGTCCCGTGCTCTACCAACTGAGCTAGCTGGGCTCCACAAATTGCACCCAAATGTTTGGTAAGAATTTCCACATAAAGCCTGAGAAGGCTTTAAAAAAGGTTTCTTGACAGACAAGAACAGAGTCAAGTACAGTTTCTTGGTAACTGTCTTTTCTCCAGTTGGCTCTGTTGGCTGGTGGCAAGCAAAGGTGCAATTCCTTTAAGAGAGGTTTCCTGATTCCACAGAGTTGTGACAATAAACATGGTTCCTGCCAATACTTCCACCATGAAGCTAGACCCTCAGGAAGTCAAGGAATGGGCCAAGCTAGTCATCAAAGCTGCCACCTTCATCCTAGCCATATGGCTTAGCAGATTAAAGATTTATGTGGTCAGACAATGTTAGAGCTATACCAGAAAGACAGATTCAGATGAAAAAACAATGTGTTAAAAAAATACATGTAGGTTTGGGAGAAAAAGGAAAAAGCCCTTTAAAAAAAAAAGAAATAGAGTAGTTAGGCATGGTGACACATGCTTTTAATCCCAGCACTTGGGAGGCAGAGGCAGGAGGTTCTCTGAGTTCCAGGTCAGCCTGTCTGGTCTACAGAATGAATTCCAGAACAGCCAAAAATACACAGAGAAATCCTGTCTCAAAAAGATCAAAAAATAAAAATAAGTAGAGATTTAAAATCCACATAAAGATGGAAAATAAATACGTAGAGAATCTGAAAATTGTATGTTATTGTGTTTTCTTTTCATTGTTTGACTGATGAGTAAGGAGCAACAACCGCTAAAAGACAGTTGATGATAAACCAAACCTTTCTATTTAGAAAATGCCTTGACTTCAAAATTTAAGTCAAAAGATGTGTTACTTTGGGAGAGAGATTTTGCTTTTATTTCCATAGGAAATAAGAGGCTGTAAATTCATTCTGGGTGAAGAAAAAATCAGGTTTGATGGAAGAAGACCTCCTGAAAACATCTCTGATAGGAGGGGACATCCCAGATGATTCACCATTTTAGAGCATCTGTGCTGAATTTCCTCAGAGCTCTACATCCAGAACAGCCTCAGGACTGCTGGCTGAGATAATCCAGCCTCACAAAACCTCCAGTCAGGACTTGACCATAACCCTAAATTTTCTGTCGATCCTCATAAGATTACCAGTGCCCCCAATCAGCAGGAAGTAGCCTAGGAAACTACACCCACATTCCCAAAAAATGGATAATAGGTGCTTGTCTTTGTTTAGTGTGTTGGTTACAAGTTGTTATGCATAATGGTCAGGAAAAGAGCTAAACAAACAAGATTAGATTCAGGATTTTTGTTTTGAAAAGAAGAAAAGGAGAAATGCTATGCGATAACACTTTTGTACACTGAAAGATTTGTCACTCCTATTAGTTTAATAAAATGCTGATTGTCCAGTAGCCAGGAAGGGAGTATAGGCAGGTGAGCAGACTAGGAGAATTCCAGGAAGAGGAAAGGTAGAGAGTCAGTCACCAGCCAGACACAGAGGAAGCAAGATGAGAATGCCTTGTTGAAAAAAGGTACCAAGCCATGTGGCTAAATATAAACAAGAATTATGGGTTAATTTAAGTTGTAAAAGCTAGTTAATAATAATCCAGAGTTAAAAGGTCCAACAGTTTATAATTAGTATAAGCCTCTGTGTGTTTGAGATTGAATGGCTGCAGGACCAGGCAGGACAGAAGCATCTATCTACACCAAACCCCTCCCCTTAAGGCCCAGAGGTCTATGTAAAGGGAAGGCAGAAAAACTGTAAGAGCCAGCCAGAGGTAGGGGAAGACTCTAAGGCAAAAACAATTTCTAGACATAAGGCTGAAACACATATGATCTCACAGAGACTATGAAAGCAAGCACAGGATCTGCACAGATTCAAACCAGAAAGTTCCACAACTGAGAAGGGGACATGGGCATAAAGCCCCACTCCTAACCAAGAAGTTATTTGCAACTGATACATGATAGGAAATAAAAAGCTAGATTTTTCAAATAGAGTCTCACTGGGTATTATCAACCAACTCAAGGGCAGGCCCCATGCTCAGGAGTAGTTGACCACACACACACACACACACACACACACACACACACAAAACATGGATTTTTGAGCACTTTTTGGTGTGTGTGTGTCTTTTTGTTTGCTTTTTTTAAGTATGCTTTGATTTTTTTTTTAGGTTTGTTTTAAGAGAGAGAGAAGAGAGAGAGAGAAAACACAAAGTTGGGTTGATAAGGAGGTGGGAAGAATCTATGGGAAGCTGAAGAAAGGAAAGAATATGATCAAAATATATTGTATAAAAAAACTAATAAAACTATAAAACTAAAAACAGAAACAAAAGACCCAAGTGAAAAATAGGCAACAGACCTGAATAAATATAGCACCAAAGAAGATGTACAGATGGCAAGTAAACATATGAGCAGATACTGCACGCCATAGATCATCAGGAAATTGGAAGTTACAACACTGAGATACTAACACATACACTCATTAGAATGAACAGACCACAAACACTGACAACACCAAGTACTGACAAGGACATGATCCAAATTTTTCTTATGATCCAGAAATCACGGTCCTTCATATTTATTTATCTAAATGAGCCAATAATTTATGCCCTCAGAAAAATTTACATAGTAGTTTGCTATAGTAGCTTTACTCAAAACTGCCAAATCTTATTAGCAACAAAGATGTCCTTCAGCAGGTCAAATGATAACGTAAAACAGGGATACATCAAGACAGCAGATTATTAATTAAATTTTTTATTATATATTTTTTAAAACAGCTATTTGGCTAACAAGTTGGTTCAGGCAGTGAAGGAGTTTGTCACCAAGCTTGACAACCTGACAATGATCTTTAGGATGAAAGAAAACTGACTCTCACAAGTTGCCTTCTGCCCTCCATGTGCATGAGAGCCCTTACACACACACACACACAAACACACACACCATTTGTAGAAGAAACAGCTATCAACCCATGAAAAGGCAATGAAAAAAACTTAAATGCATATCAATAACTACAAAAAACTAACCTGAACCCTGTCTCGAGAAAAAAAAAAAAAAAAAAANCTTGAGAGGGAGGAAATGGCCCAGCACAGGTTTTCAAGGCAATGGAAATAATCTGTATAATATGTGCGTGAACCCATTTCATTACTATATACTTGAATACACAAAATCAAGAATGAATCTTAAAGCATGTCATGAACTCTGGGTAATAGTGTGCTGATGTAGGCTATTTGAATGTAAAAAACTGAAGTAGTGAGAAAGTTGTGCATGTCTAGAGACAAGAGGTATATGAGAACTCTATTGCTCAAATTTGCTATGAACTAAAAATTGTTCTAAAATATTAAGTGTATAAAAAAAATCAAAAAGACACAGTAGTGCAACTATAATCCCAGCACTTGGAAGGCTGATGCAGGGAGATGACTACAAGTTTGAGGACAACTTGGTCTACACAGTGCGTTCCTACAAAGTAAGATTGTGTCTCAAAAAGAAAAAAAATATATATATATATTATATATATGTGTGCGTGTACTTAATTATATATTTAATACTTTAGATTAAAAGTAACTACTTCTAAGCGCAGAAGGCAAAACCACAAAATTGCTGCCTGGTAATTTCTCCTCCTCCTTTTCTCTTCTTTTGGGACAGTGAGTGACATGATAACTGGAGGCTGAACCTAGGGCACCGTGAACGCTAAGGATAGTTTACCACTGAGCAATACCTCAAGCCCAAACTTGATGTTTTCTAGCCCTTAGTCTTAGCAAGCATAACATTACCTTAGCAGTTATTTAAGCCTTAGAATGGGAATCAAAAGAACTTACTTTTCAATTCTCTTCTTTTGTTCTCTTTGTCTGTTTTGTTCTTTCACTTGCTCCCTCTCAATATCCATGAAAAGTCTCCTGTGTCTCAAGTATTGCTTTTGACGCTAAAGGAAAGAAGTTAAAATTATCTAGCCTATTCACAGACAGCTTTGCAAAGGACAATATTCTTATTCTAAAGAGAAGAAAACTGTCAGATAATGAGGTTACATGCGATAAAGTTATCAATTTCCTCTGTATCAACAGCAGTACATACAATAAGAAAAGTATGTTTTCAAGTACATAGCTACTTTGTTCATAGACAAACCAGTGAAAATGCAAATTTAGTTTACCCTTAGTAAAAGCTGAAATAGTTAAAACATCATCTGAAGAAAAAACAGTGTATTAGTTTGACCTTAGTGTAGTCCACTTGTCAATAGTACCTGGGAAATTGTTATATTTGACACAATTAAGGTACATACTATATTTACTCTGTGTTCTCAAGCAGTATCATAAAAGGAGGGCCTCTGAGAAAGAAAGGCAGGCATTTTATAATAGAACAACAGCCCATTGAATCTGTAAAGACTAAAATCACATCACAAAGCCTACCACACACGATAAGAAGTGCAGAGGGATCAAGTCTATCAGGGTATCATGCTCATAAACAGAACGAGCATAATAAAAGCGAGTGCGACTATACTATGCATGATCTGTTTATACCTTGGGATTTACATATTCTCTTTCAAGGACACAAGCTACTCAAAGGGATGACATATCTACACGTACACTAGGTCAATGACTGCTTTGGTGAAAGAACCTTAATCTGAAGAATGACTCTCATTATTGAAGATGCATCAAAAAATGTTTCTCATCTGACATCAGCCCATGGCCAGGATTTAAAACTGGTAGAGTACTTTTTACCTGAAGAGGAAGAGAAGCCATACATTTAAAGGACTCCTTTAAGTAAGCTATAGTGGAAAATATACACAGCTAGAGAAATTCACTTGGATCAAACATGTGCATCTCAAAACCTATGAGCCTAAAAGAAAAGTTAAGCATATTATAACGTCTTAACATCTTTGGAATTTCTGTTTTTATTCATTTCTTTCTTTTTTAAAAAGTATTTATTTTTATGTGTATGGATGTTTTACCCACCTGTATGACTGTTCAACATGTGTCTGTACACTGCAGTGTCCACAGAGGAGAGGGTTGGATCCTCTAGGACTGGAGTTACAGATGATTGTGAGTCACCATGTGGATGCTGGGAACTGAGCCCAGGTCCTTTGGAAGAGCAGTCAGTGACTGTCAGTCAGTGCTCTTAACTGCTGAACCATCTCCCCAGGTCTCTAGTTTTTTTTAATATTAATATTTTTTAACACACTTATTTTCTCTGTAAGGCACGTAACAGCCTTCCCCTCCCTCTGCTCCTTATACTAGGAGTTGAATCCACACTACAACCTTTCTATACTTGGGAGTAATAGTATATTAGCAGAATAGTTGAGGGGGTATCTTAACCAGAGAAATCACCAATTTTTTAAAAAAAAAAGCACTAAAAATGCATCAAATATGGTACCAAATAGATTGCAAAAAGCTGCTTGTTTGTGATATGGAGCTGAAACAGTCCAGCTGACAGAATGCATTTTGGGTTACTCAAATATTTCGTATCTTTTGTGCATGTCAGCAAAGTGTTTTGCCTGTGATGATGACTATGTACCATCTGCAGAGGCCAGAAGACATCAGATCCCTTGGGACTGGAGATACAGATGGTTGTGAGATCCCATTCTCTAAAGGGTCAGCTCCAGAATTTCTGTTGTTTTAACGAGTTAAAATAGTGAACTACTTCCAACATCACAGAGAATTCAGAAGCATACCTCTTTCTTGTCTTCTTCTTGATCCACTCCAGACTGAAAGGCCAGTGAAGCATGGTATTTGCTCAGTCCCGATCGATACTCTTCATAAACTTGCTACAAAATTCAATTTACAAAAGTGACAAAATTGCTAAAAGTTCTGTGAATCCACTTCATATGTCTGACTACTGACTCTTCCTGGAACCGGTACGGCTAGAAGAAACAGGGGCTCATTACCTACTGTATCTTCTAGAAAATTCAGGATAGCTGGTACACCTACCTGGACATTTTATGTCAAGTAATAATTTCTACTTTAAAAAATAGTTTAAAATTCTTTATTTTAAAGTTATTTATCTTTAGTACCAGAAGCAGGACTAAAAAACTAGACTGTCCCTGGCAATAGGATTTTTTGCGAAAATATTCTTATATTGCCTGTGGTATATTTGCCAACCCTGTGAAAACTCACAAAATACCAAACTGTACAGGTAGCTAATCATTATTATTTGTACTCACCATCATATTTACAAACTTGTCTACACGTTCAAATCTATACGGAGCCCCAACACTCATAGTGCTTATGTAGTCCTTGGCAGACATGCAGAGACATGAAAGATCTGAGTAACGAAACATGCATACTGCCAGATGGGACTCTGTTTCAGCTCTCATACCATAAATAAGCATCCTTTCTGCAATCTACATGGTAGCAAACTTGATGTGTTTTTGTGCTTTCTGTTGGTGATTTCACCGGTTAAGATGACACTCTCCCCACAGTATATTGCTGATATATTATCACTCCAAAGCATAGAAAAGTTGTGGTGTATATTAATTTCTTAGCACAAGACACACATGCACTGGGGGTGGAGGGATATTGTTGGGATATGCCTTGCAGAGATAATACATGTTAGATTAGTTTTGTTTACGTTTGAGTTAGTGATGTTGCCAGCTGAGATCAATGTTAAGGGATCAATGACACATTTTCCTTTTGTGGTGCTGGGAATGAAAACTGGGGGCTTGTGCATGTGAAGCAAACACTCTACTGCTGAGTTATAGACCCCATAGAACCATATAAATTAAATCAGAATCTTTAAACAGAAATATCTAAACCAAATACAGCATGTATATTAACTAAATGACCATAAATAAGCCCTGGTACATATGATCAAAAGCACTAAATAAGGAAATCAAGGTCATCCTGGGGAAAAGACAGTCTCTTCAACAAATAGTATTGGGAAATGGCTATTCACATGCAAAAAAAAATTAAGGTAGGCCCTTAGCATATGCCATCTACAAAAATTAACTCAACATGAATCAGATCAAGAGATGTAAACATAAGAAAGCACACTACAGAATGCCTTGAAGAGGGGAAAGCTATTTAACACCAAATCAGGCAATTTCTTGAATATGATACTAAATATAGGTAATGTTAGAAAAAAATAAAATGGACTATAGTAATACTTGCGTACAAATGGACACTCTCGGAGTAAAAAGATAACATAGGAAATAGGAGAAATCTCAAATCTGATATGCTTGGAATATTAAATGCTACCCCCAACTGTTCATATACATGTACCCAGGTATAGGTGCTATTTTGGCAGGCTTTGAAATGTTTATGAGGTAGGGCCTACTTGGAGAAAGTAGCCCACTGGGAGTGACTTTCAAAGACATACTGGGCCTCCACTCCCTTCCTCTCTTTCCCTCTACCATGACTTGAACACCCCTTTCTTCCACATATTTCAGCCACAGTGATGTTCTGCCCAAGAACGTGGGACCAAGCAACCTGAAGTAAACCTCAAAATCAAGAACCACAATAAGCTATCACCCCAGAGACCTAAAACTTCAGATCAATTAAGTCATGAACACACTAGAAGTTTGTTAACTGAAACTGAATCAGTTAACTCACATCCTAGCAATTAGCAGATAGATTTTCACTATGTCTGTTTTGCCTTGCTCTCTTATGACCCACTTTTCAAATAGTTAACTGATGTAATAATAGGAGCGGCGGGGCTGCGTCCCCAGCACCCCGGTCGCCTGCTAGCTTATGCCAGATATAACAACACACAAACTGTATTCATTTAAACACTGCTTGGCCCATGAACTCTAGCCCTTACAGGCTAATTCTCATATCCCGATCAACCCATCTCTAATAATCTGTGTGGCATCAGTCTTACCGGGAAAGATTCTAGCCTATGTCCATCCTGGGTCCAGGCTTCATTGCGTCTGCCTCAGAGAGCAGAGCTGTCGAGTCTGAGCTCACTTCCTCTTCCTCCCAGCATCCTGTTCTGTTTACTCCTCCCACCTATGTTTTAACCTATCAGGGCAAGCAGTTTCTTTATTTAATTAACCAATGACCTTCCTCCATCAGTTAACACTGAAATCAGCCTCACCAAAAAAAAAAAAAAAAAAGGGAAAAACATCCAAGAAAGCCCCTGGCAAGATGACTTCCTACTTTCCTACTCATTAGCATTAGGTTTACAGAAACCACATACACCTGCTATTCCTGGTGACTTATGGAAAGCATCAAAACCACATCAACACAATTATAAGAATTAATTGCCAAGCTAGGTGTAGGAGCCCCATAGAAAATACTTGCCTAGCATGCATGAGGCCCTGGGTTTCCCAGCACAAACACACATAAGCATTCATCTTCAGTACAGAGCTCACCTGACTATAGCTGAAGTCTGTAACCTCTGACAAGATGAAACCTGGGTGTGAAAGCCTTCCATCTCACACTCGCTAGTTTGTTACCAGTAAAGCTTCTTCCATCACTGTCTCTCAGTTACTGCCTTCAGCAGCAGAATGGGACATTTCACAGTTATATACACCTGGTCAGTACAGCAATGCAGGAAACAACCCAAGTGTCCATGGGTGGATGAATAAACGAACAAAACGCAACACACACACACACACACACATGCACACAAATACTATTAATGACTTTAAAGTGAAAATACTGTACTAAGCTGTAGCATTATGCTAAGCAAAGCAGGACAGTCACAAGAGGACAATACTGTAGGAAGTCACATCATGAGGTACTTAAAGCAGTCAGACTCAGATTGAAGCAAGAAGGTAAGGAGGAGGGAGTGGGAGACTTATTTAATTGATATAGAGTTCTCGATAGGATTTCAGATTTATAAGGTGAGGAAAAAGTTCTAGAAATAGATGGGTGGCAGGCAACATATCTCTCAATGTGACGGTACTTATGCCACTGGAATGTATATTTGAAGAAGCTTAAAGTGAGCTGAGTGGTGGCCTACACCTATAATCCTAATATTTAGAGACTGTGGCAAATTTTCCTGCTCAGGGGCTGGAGAGATGGCTTAGTGGTTAAGAGCACTGACTGCTCTTCGAGAGGACCCGGGTTCAATTCCCAGCACCGACATGGCAGCTCACAACTGTCTGAAGATCCAGTTGCAGGGGATCTGACACCTTCACACCAATGCACATAAAATAAAGTTAAATAAACCATAAAAAATATTAAAAAAAATTTCCTGCTCAATGCCAATCTGGGCTAAATATGGAGACTATTTCCAAATGTCAAAAATATATTTATATTATAAATACAATTATTTAAATGCTAAATTTTGTATTTACAACAATTTAAAAAGTTAAACATCCATTTATTGTTGGGGAGGAGGCAGATTAGCATGTCACAGAGCATATGTGGAGGTCAGAGGACAACATTCAGGAGTTAGTTTTTCCTTCTACTGTGAGGTTCCTAAGCTCCAACTCAGAGAGATCACAGCAAAAGGCCCCTAACTTCTGAGCCATCTCACCAAGCCTTCATCACAAGTTTTAAAAGCACCTACATTCAGATATACTTAAATGCTTATGAAATACTACAAAAATACATACACTAACATGATTAATACTGGGAAGAGAATTGGAATTTTAGAATTAGGATTTCGAGGAAGGGCCTTAATGGGGGACTCATACTTTTTCTGTATACTTTTTGAGGGGTCTGAGGGAGGGTTCACTCCATGTACCCAAGCAGGCCTCAAACTTGCTACGTATGTAGCATAGGATGACCATGCAGTTTGGTCCTCCTGCCTCCACCTTTCCATTGTTCCAACTTCAGGCCTCCAACACCTCACCCAGTTTATGCAGGGCTGGGTATCAAACCACAGGCTTATTCATGTACAAATCAATCAAGCACTCTACCAAGATCCCCAGTCTTTCTGTATACTTCTAGTGTTTAAATGCTCTACAAGAATTTATCCATTTTTATATTTATATATCCCAACATTTTGTTTTAAAAGTTTTACAAGATTTTCATCATACATTACAAGAAGTGCAGAATTACTTTTTATATTTCATTTTTCTTCCCCACATTTATTTATTTATTTTTCATTTTAAAATTGATCCATTGATAAAATCACCTCCCAGGCACTTCTAATAAGGCCTACAGCATTTTTGCTTGTCATAGTCTGAGGAGGAGGGTAGGCTTGGAGCAGTGTCACTGGCTTCCAATGAGTAAATGTAATAGAAGTTAGAGACACAAAATGCTATAAATACCTCCAAAAAGGTACGAGTATACCTAAATATTTTTATTTCTTTACTACACATAAAAATCAATTTATTATCAGTTTAATATGTGAAGTTTAAAAAGCCAGCTGCAGAACAATCAATATAATACAATGTCACTAAATAAAAATAATAGGATATGCAACCCAATCAAAAATTTATCTGTATGCATGTGTATGCAAATTAGGTGGTCTAGACTGATGAACTTTAAACTGTTGATAGTAGATATGTCTGGAGAAAAGGAAAGGCTGAGGAAATAGAAAATGGAAAGGTAACTGATCTTCATGCTATCAATACTTTCTGCATTGAAAACTGCATTGAAAAATTCATTAAAATGAATTCTCCTAACTGATCACTTTGGGGGCACTAAAAATTAAATTGGTATCTACAAATAACAGATTCTGTCTAGTTGTATTGTAAAGATAAATTGAAATGGAACAGAAAAGTCAAAATCAGGAAGTCAGTTTCCTAGATCAGATGAAGTAGAGGTAGACACTGGAAGTTGATTAAAAGACCAGTTAAGAAACGGTAAAGATCCGAGCTAAAATTATGGCAACAAAAATACAAAGAGAAGAGTTTAATGTGGAACTGTCCCC